GTTGCTGCGCGACATCCAGAGCCAAAGAAAGGCGGGCAGCGGCGGCGGGCCGCCGGTATGAGGGGAGGCGTAGCGCCGGCGAGCGAAGGGAAGAGGCGGAGGAAGGCGGGAGGCGGACCTTGCGTTCAGCTCTCACGTGTCGAGCGCGTATGCTCTATCCCGCAGTTCCCGCACCCCTGGCCTTGTTCGCCGCTTGGTCTCCTCTAGTGCCGGTCCCGGTTACAGGTACACGTCTCTTTCTCGAGCTTCGTTCGAGCTCTGTTTCAGTATGTTACAGGTTACAGCCGGTCCCAGGTTGAATGTGTGTTCGCTCACGCTGTAACCTGTATCGGTACTCTGGTCTCTGCCCGATTTTCGCCGGACGCCGCGGATTGGCGATTTGCGAACAGCAGAAAATTCGTGACTAGGGGTAGACAGTGCCCGTCTACATTCGATCGAATTCCACGTGGCCGGGGACCATGATGAAATTCTATCGCCGACGTCTCCCAGTGCTGAGATGATCGCGAGAAGAGTTGAGAGGGGACGACACCGCTCGATCTGCCCTCCGGGGTCCCTCGGCGGCGGGCACACCTCGTCCTGTACTGTGTTTGTGATGACCTCCCCAAATGAACACACACCAGTGTGAGGGAGGGCGAGACGATCGAGGGGTCCCGTACCATGCGGAATCGACCCCTATCCCAGAGGGCTTCCTCCCAGCAGTGCAACAGTGCAACCAGAGGGGAAACCCCGCGAGGGGAGAGGGAACCCAGGAAACTCCCTCGCACGACACTGGGCACGGGACAATACATTGTTCATCGAAACGTCAGGCAAAGCTCATGGCCCGAGAGAGAAAGACCGCCCAGTTTAACTCATCACAGGCGGCCGCTTCTGCGGTGGTGGGGCTCAGCGACCCCCACAGGACTCCCATACACACTACAGAGCTACATGCGACCGCCTGACGCAAACCTGCCGCCATCAGGCAGGCAGTTCACTCTGAGCACATCCGGACGACCTCCCTGTTTTCTTCAAGTAACCGGGAAGCTCACCTTGATCCTCCACCATCGACTTTGGCAAACCGCATCGCGCAGCCCGGCACGGAGTCTCGCCGCGCCCCTCCCTGACCTCCGCGCAGCAACGCACGCAGCCTCACGCTCCAAGGGGTAATCGCCAGGCAGCTGCTGGAGCGGCCTCGTGGGGGCATCCTCCTCCTCCCCCTCCTCCCCCTCCTCCTCGGCCTCCTCCTCCTCCCCCGCCACCGCCGCTGCCGTCGCTCCCGACGGAGACCACTTGCCGCGCCCTTTGACCAACTTGAGCAGCCCGGTCTCCGTGTTGCCAAAACGCACATAGGCCCCCTTCCAGCCGAGCCGAATTTCACCCTCTCCATCCTTGCCCTTGCTGTTGCTCGCGAGCGAACTCGTAAGCTTCAGATCGGCAACAAGGCGCCTGTGCCCCCTGCCGATGTTTGCCGCCGCCACGTCAGGTTGTTTTGGATTACTGTAACTGAGGTGTGCAGTCGGCTCCATCTCGATGATCATGCCCCACGCCGAGCGGAGGCATTTGATCAAACGTTTGAGTAGAAATTTGTGTCTTGTAGCATGCTTCGACCGAGGGTTAACCATCGCGGCGTCGCCAAGGACGTCGTGTAGCTGGCCGCTACCTCGATGACCGGCGACGGAGGCAACGACTGCGGTGCACTGCGGCTCGCCCACTGCGGCCTCGCCATGTCCGAGGCGGAGGCGTCGGTGGTGTCGCCTTTCACCACGTCGATGGGATCTGCGACCGCCCTGGTCGACATCTTTCTCGAGGGGCGCGCCACGCTGGCCACCTCCTTCGCCGCGTACAAGTTCCTCATCAGCTACGGCCTCTACTTTTCCATCCTCAAGCTGCTCTCCTACTACTGGTCCGTCCTCCTCTCCAACGCAACCTACTTCCTCGTCGACGCGCTCGCCGTCACCGCCGTCACCGGCACCACTGTCCTCGCCCTCCCGCTCCGCTACCTCGCCAACGCGCGGCCGTCGCACTCGCTGCTCTCGTACTCGACTGTCATGTCGTGCCTCGGCGCGGGCCGGAGACGCAACGCCTGGCCGCCCGTGCGGTGCCGCAACCTACTCTCTCGGAGCGCGCCGTAGGCACGTGGCTCATCACGATGGCCTTCGTCTCTTACCAGCTCTACCGCATGACGAATCACCCCGACTACGTCAAGTGGCCGTCGCAGGGCTCCACCGGCGCCTCCTGGTGGCTGCTCTCCGACAACTGGGAGTGCACCGTCCTCTTCCCCGCCTTCTTCATGCCCTTCTTCACCACGGCCTTCGCCTACTCCTTCGGCGCACAGCGACACCTAGCAGCACCTGGGCCGATGCCGCCCCTTCTGCGAACGCCGCGACCCCGCCGACCCTGGGCCGGCCCTGCACTGCTCTCATATGCGATGCGCAGCACCATCCCCATCGCCCCGCAGGCACGCAGTTCCGCGAGGCGTGGCACAAGAACTTTTGGTTCCTCCTAGTAATCTTTGGGTGCGCCAACCCTCCACACACTGATCCGACCAACAGCGACCAAAACTAGGTTCCTCGCAGTTGTCTTTGGGTGTGGAACCTACAGCCACGCGAGACTTACAGCCACCTGAGACACGCAACAGAAGAGACGACACAGGACATGGACACGCTAGCACCCGGCGAGAGGAGTACTGACGGGCGCTGCCCCACCTCGCCCCAGGCTGCTCGGCCTGCAGACTTTCTTGCTCCTCTCGCCCTCGACGTGGTTCACCCAGACCTTCCACATCGCCTCGGAGCAGTTCAACCGGCCGTGCCCCGCAAGCTGCTACGGCGAGGAAATCGCGCACGCGTCCAGCTTCGCATACGAGGGCGACTGCGCGGACTGCCCCACCTGCGACTTGTGGCTGCAGTGGCAGCAGCCGTGCTCTACCCTGAGTGCGGAAAACGCGGCAATCCAGGAGGGGAAGGACATGTGCGGCCACGAGGCCTCGCCGCCGATGCCCTTCGAGTTCCGCGCGGGAGTCATGTAAGCTGCGCCCCCTCCCCCACCCCCTCGCCCGATCCCTAATGCGGCGACACCTCCTTGTCCCTTCCACCTTCAGGGCCCTCTGCTACCTCAACTGCTTCCTAATTATTGTGTGGGAGAGGATCCTCGTCCGCGGTCCGATTGGCAAGTGCCTCGACAGCGGCGACAGCGAAGAGAAGCTCACGTTCCGGCTTTGAGCGGGCGCATGCGGGACAGCCTTCCGGCGGCGAGTTTTGGCGCCCAAATGGCGCAGGCCCGGGAAGAGAGAGGGTCGCGCACTGGAGAGGAGCACGCCCTTGACGTCTCACGCTTTGCACAGAATGATTGCGCTCGCGCCATTATACTCCGTTGCATTTTCGCCACAACATGCTGTGCTGGGAGATATTGTGATGTGCGTGACTCACACAAAGAGTCTTCTCCTATCTTGCAGGTAGCGAGGTATGTAAGGTGCTTAGTTAGTGGTGAGGCGGAGCGGAAGCGGAAGAGCCTTGCACGTCTTGTGCACAGCGCTCTTGTGTGCACCCCGCGACACACTCGCGAGAGCCGAGAGCCGTCTCAGAGTCTCCCTCGCAGACCTGCAACCCCTCTTTTTGACATCTCTTAAATGACCTACTGGAGACTCGCTCTCTACAAAATGCGAGTGCGGTCTCTGCCCCCACAGATTTCAGGAGCACTTGTCACCGCGACACAGCAACATCGATTCGTCCTCTCTCGACTCTGCAGCTGGCAGCTCGGAGCTCTGGGAGCGGGCACACTCTCTCCGCAGCGGCAGCGCTGGCGCACCGCCACTCTGACCCACCCACGAACGTTGAAGGAGAGCGCACAGAGGCGGACGAGAGATGCCGAGCGAGGACTGGGAGAGGAGACCATGTACGCCGTTGCGTGTGCAACACATGCGACCCCGTTGCCAGCTCCGCTCTCTACCAGGGCATCCCAAGCCCCTCTCGCCCAGCCTCCCGCCCGACAACCCCGTTGGCCCCACCTTAGGCGAGCTTGTTCTGGATCTGGCGGTGGACGTGGCAGAGGAACTCGACGTAAGTCATGGATGCCTAAAGCAGCAACGGGCGCACGCCTGCTCGGACGCGCCTCGATGGCTATCTAGTGGAGCGCTGCGAGGCCGCGCCTGCGCGCGGTCCTCCGTCAAGTTCGCCAAGAACCGAGGCTCGGCCGCGTCCTACCCACCAGACGGAGTCGCTGTGAAGAGTCCCCGTCCCTGCGGCGGGCTGCGTGGCTCCTCCGCCCGCGCCTTGTGGGCCACGCAACGCAAAGTCTGCACCAAGTGCGGCCGCTGGGCGCGGATCACGCTGAGCAAGCCGTGCAGCGCGGCGCTCGGCGCCGTCTCGAGCTTGGCCACGCGGAGGCGCGACGCGTCGACGCCCGCGGCCGACGCGATCCCGAGCAGCGGCTGCAGCA